TTTGGGAGGAAAACGTGAGAGTATTTTGTACAGGGGAGGGATGTGAATTCTCGTGGCCAGAGGACAGGCTGTGGTAGACTGTTTCCTCTTTATACGTACAGATGGTCCCAGACGTACCATGCTTTGACTTAGATTTTTCAACTTTACAATGATGTGAAAGCAATATGCATCCAGTATAAACCATACTTCCAGTGCCAATACAGTTTAATTTTTCACTTTCAGTATAGTAGTAAATAAATTACATGAGATATTCAATATTTTATCATAAAATAGTCTCTGTGTTAGATGATTTTTCCCAACTGTCAGCTAATGCGAATGTTCTGAGCACGTTTGAAATAGGATAGGCTAAGCTATAATGTTTGGTAGGTTAGGTGTATTAAAGACATTTTTGACTTACCATATTCTCAACTCATGATGTGTTTAATAAGATGTAACCTCATTGTAAGTCCAGGAGCATCTGTATTCTGCTACTCACGTGAAAAATAGAGTCTATTCTCCATTCTATTCGATCTATGCTGGCCTTTTGATTCATCTTAACCAATAAAATATGCACAAGTGACAGTGTACCAGCTATGACCAGCCCTTAAGAGGCCTAACAGCTTCTGCTTTCAGTTTCTTAGAGCCCTGAAATATATAAATACAGACACACGCACCCCTCAGCTACTCGGATAGAGAAAAAGGCCCTTCTAGCTGCCAGCTGTTCCAGATGTTCAGTGCAGGCAGCACACATGTAAATGATGCCATCTTGGGTTTTCTAGCCCACTAAAGCTCTCAGCCAAAGGCAGTCATCTGAGTTACTCCAACAAAACCACATGAAGCAGAAGTGTCACCCAGCCGAGCCCAGTGAAATGACGGAATGCCAGAAATAATAACTTCTTGTTATTTTAAATGTCACAAAGATCTTGTAAGATTTTATGCAAAAATAGATAAATGATGCAGAAATCATCACATTTCTTTCTTTCTTTGCTTGTTTATCACTTGCACAAAACAATATTCAACATATTGTGCTATGAAATATCACAAAAGTGAAATATTAACTTAAAAAATCAGACAACTTAGTTGCACACAGCAAAAACTAACTACAGCTAAATTAGGCAGAAAATATATGTAAGTAAATGTTG